TGTGGCAATGCTGAATTATCCATTAGATTTTCACCCGTTTTTTTTGGTTGGTTGGTTTGAGATGGAGTCTCACTCTGTCGCCAGGCTGGAGTGCAGTGGCATGATCTGGAATCACTGCAACCTCCGTCTCCTGGGTTCAAGCGATTCTTCTGCCTCAGCCTCCTGAGTAGCTGGGACTACAGGTGTGTGCCACTAGCCCAGCTAATTTTTGTATTTTTAGTAGAGACGGGGTTTCACCATTTTGGTCAGGATGGTCTTGATCTCTTGACCTCATGATCTGCCTGCCTCTGCCGCTCCAAAGTGCTGGGATTACATGAGCCTCCTGCCTCAGCCTCCCAAAGTGCTGGGATTACAGGTGTGAGCCACTGTGCCTGGCCCGCCCCAGCATTTTTTAAGACGTATGTATTCGCTGTTCTGTTTTTCCAGGTGATTCTATCGTAAAGTGATGCTATGTTGTTGTGACAACACCAAACTGATTTTACGGTTTTTATGGAATTATTCAGATGTCAAAATTAACTGTTCAAAATGTTCTGAATCATGTAGCTACGTGGCAGGTAACTGTTTATGAGAGAAAACACTGTACAGTCATGCACCACATAACAGCGTCTGGGTCAGCGATGGACACTTCCCTGACAGCGGGCCCACGACATTCTTGTGCAGTGTTTGGAAGCCTGGCCTGGGCTCTTGGCGTTGGCCTCTTGGCGTTGGCCTCTTGTAGATCAAGTAGGGGAAGTGATTGATGTTCAGTCATGCTGCTGGGACACTTGCTTTTCCAGATGAAAAACACATAAATAAAACTACACGCACCATCGAGGCTTGTGTAAGGACACTCTATGATCACACAGCAGCGGCTGAGCACACATTTCTCATGTCACTAAGCGACACATGACTGTCACTGGTTTGGAGACCCGAAAACTTAGGAAGCTAACCAATGTGCATTTCCTTGAATGGCACAGTCAGTTTCTATGACACAGCATCTTTTAAAACCATATCATGTCAGGATGCAGCTTGGCTGGGCAAGGACATTGGGTTTTTCAGCTGGCAGTGATCATAATCTCTGGGGAAAGTTTTAATGTGACCTTAGAATTGGCAGAATTGCGTCTCTTCATAGTGCTGCTGGATTGCCTTGTGGGGGTGGAGATGTGGAGACCCCTCCAGGCGAGCAGCCCGTAGGCGGAAGGCAGTGGCAGCCCCTCACGCTGGCTCAGTGGGGCCGAGCAGAGGAGCACGGCGTCGGTGGGCTTTTCATCGTATGCACGCTAGTGCCACAGTGACAGGCAGTTGGAGCCCCATGAGTGGACCGGACAGCTCTGCTTGGGAAGCATCAGCAGTCGTCAGCTGAGGGACAGATGGTAGCAGTAGCTGGAGGACGCTTAGGTTTTTGAGCCAAAAATCTTCGTTTGTGCGCCAGATGGATGGGTCCTGGGCACCTTCTGTTGTAGACGTTTCCGTCATGAATGTCCAGGTCAGACCCCCATGTCCACGTCTTCATGTATGTCCAGGCACACGTGCGTGCGCACCACTCGCGGGAGTCAGTGTGCTTGGCTCACGAGGACCCGGCCAGCCACTGCGACGGCTTTCACAGACGCTACTGCTTTACGGTCTGGGTGCCATGTGAAGCGGACCCATCAGCTTTAGCGAATGACACCATTTGTTCTCTGCTCAGTGTCTCGATTTCTGTGTCTGTAGAAATGACTGGCGATTTTGGGGAGCAGCTGCAAGAGCCCCACAGCCCACACACCTATAGTCGTCAGAACCAGAGAGGCCCAGGGCCCTGTGCAGTGGGCAGACTAACAGCTGGGGGGCTCCTCAGAGCCTTGCAGGATGTGGGCCAGGCTGCCTTGAGACCTGGACCCACTTATCTGGTCACTGCCAGGCCTTCCTGTCTGGCCCACTGTGGGAGGGAGGGGACTCCAGACAGGATGAGGCCCACACAGTGCCAGCCGGACTGCTGTGGGTGTGTCAGACTACTGCCTTGCCTTGTGTCCCCCAAAACCTAATTTCCTGCTGCTCTGGGCAGTCAAGGCAGATGCCACAGTTGGCCAGGAGCCTGCCTTGTTGGAGGCTTGAGGTGGCACGGGGGCTTCCCCAGGCCAGGACTCTGCTGGAGCTCTGGGGCTGGGGACCCCAGACAGTTGCTCGGAGAGGTGATTTTGGGCTGCCATGGCAGAGGCTGCCCTTTCTCTGTATGGCCCGGCCCAGTCCGGGAGGGAGGGATGCTGGAGCTGCTATCTTGGCTCCCAGGGACTTGGTGTCCATGCTGTAGCACATCTGTCACTGTGTGGACAGATGAGGATGAGGCTGCCACGTGGTGTGCCCTTTCCTGATGCAGCTCGTGATGCGTGAGATGCTGGAAATGTATTTAACTCGCAGCACAGGTGTCTCTGATGTTTTCTTCACCCCATCCCACCCCCCCACTCACTAATAAAAACAGCTCTGCTCCTGGCCCAGCAGATCCTTTCCCACAGGCGTCGCCAGAGGCTGTTGCTCAAAGTGTCACAAAACTCACTCTAGCCCAGTGGTGGCTTCCATGTGGGGAGGCTGAGGGCCTCCTGTGCCCACCCAGATCTTCCCAGCAGGGAGCACAAGGCACCTGCCACTGTCACGGAGAAGCTAGTACCCTTGACCAGGGGTCCTGGGAACCGGCCCCACCCTGCTGGGTCCCTGCCTGGAGCACGAGATGGACGAGAGGTGTCAGGCTGCCTGGATACCCCAGGTGCACACTCAGAGGAGCCCAGGCCTCAGACGCACCCACAGCAGATCCTCCTGTTCACAAGTCTCTGGGAGGGGAAGCTAGGCGGCCAGTTAGCAGGGTCCTGTCCCATCGTCTCCCCAACCCTCCCAGAGCTGTAAGGACACTGCCCAGTTCAGCCTAGGTCCATGACCCTGGGATCCTGGGGCCGGAGCTGCTGTTTCCACCATGGCCACTTAGGGGACAAGTAGTGTGCCTGAGAGGCAGCTGTGGGTAACTTGAGTGCCCAGCCCAGTGAGCACCCGTGGGTGTCTGCCTGCAGCCTCCCCTGCTGGGGCTGGCAGGGCTGCTGGTGGAGCCCCTGGCTAAAGATGCTGGGCCCCTGCCAGGGCGGAGCCAGATGCAGCCAGCCAGATCTGGGGCAGACCCTAACATCCACCCGTGCCATCTGCTGCCGGCCCCTGACAGGGCGGGGAGGAGCATTTGTGGGGGTGCGTGGGCATCACTGGCATGTGGGACCCGTGGCAGAAGCACCAGGGCCACTAGAACTGGGACAACTCCCATCCCCATCCTGTACCCTCATCTGGCTCCTGGGCCACACCAGTTCTTGGGGATGCCCAGCCCCAGGACCCCCAGATCAGAATGCTGCCTTCTGGGGCCCATGCAGCCAAACTGCAGCAGCCCCAGGGCAGTGCTGTCCTGTGAAGCTGGGCTCCAGGGAGGGCACCAGCTGGCCACTCCCCTCCCTCCTTGGGAGTGGCAGGTCAGAGGTAGGGATCTCTTTTTGAAGACTTGTGCCAAGATCCAGGCTGTCATGGCTGGGGCAGACAGCGGCCCATCCAACAACAGGCTCCCAGGAAAGCATCATTGCCTCACACCCCAGCCCAGGACAGGCCCTTGGGCTTCCTCCTCAGGTTTGGAGCCAGGAGGCTTGGGGCAGTGTGCAATCAGCCTTGCAGCTCCACCTGCCACCGTTCTGGCCCCAGGCAGACCTCAAGTGGGCCTGCTCGCCCAAAAGGCGGATGGTGTGGAGTCGGCCTCCCCACCAAGACTGGCCCAGCCCCTCCTGTTTACCTGACTTGAAGCGTTCTGTGGGACCTGGCCTGGGGCAGGCGCAGCCTCAACCCTCTGATAACCTCATCTGGCCCTGTGGCCCCCCTTCTCTGTGCCCGTGAGGATAGTGGCTGCCCGTGTCTCCCACCCCTAGCCCTGGGGTGAAGACCCCTTCCCTAAGATGTTTCTGGCAAGGTTTTTGGGGTCTTTTGTGGTAGGTGAGAGCCAAATACATGACTCGGGAAAGACCTACGAAGAGAACGGAGGTTGGGACCAGAGGCTGAGACTGGAGGCCAGGATGGGGGTGGAGGGGAAATGGGACTGAAGTCCCTGGGACACAGCCGAGGTCCAGCCACATCCGGGTCCCCAGGCCTGCTGTGTGTCCTCGCCAGAGGGTCCAGTTGGGAGGGGTGCATTCCTACAGCCACATGGGAGGGGGCCTGCCCTGGGGAAACAAGCCGTTCCCACAGCCTTCCTGGATGTTATGCCTGGTCGGGCAACTATGGCAAAGGCTGTCGTCCACAGTTCATTCAACAGACGCTTAATGCCTCTGTACACAGGCTTTTGGCCCACAAGGAGTACTTGGAGGGGCCAGGCCCGTCCCTGGGGAAGGGAAGGTAGACCTGGGTCCTCCCTGGCAGCCACCAGCCCCAAGAGGATGCACCCAGCCCCTGCGTATGGTGGACTGCCTAGGAAGAACTGTGCCCACTTCACTAAGGAAGACACGGTACATCTGAGACAAGGGCAGAGGACACATAGCCCTTATTGGAGCCATCCTTACAAAACCAGGAGTCAGAAAGGCCCAGAGAGGACAGCGGCCTGCCCAGGCCACACAGCTCTGCACACTGCTGCCATGGAGGAAAGCAGCAGGGAGGATCCCACCCCGGGGGGCTGCCAGGGAGGTGGGCTCAGTTTGTCTGCCCAAGGAACCCCTCATCCTGGCCTTGACAAGGGAAGGGGCTGAGCCCTGGGTGAGGGGAGGCTGTGGTTGGGGGCTCCAGGCCGCAGGGCCCAGCCTGGGTGTGTCCTGCAGCTCCTGCTGAGGCTGGACCCAGGCCTCCTAGCCACGTGTGCCCAGCTGTTTGTCTGTAGGTCCTTTGAAGGACTGTGTGCCAGGTGTGTGGTACGCCCTCGTGTGGGGCCTGTGACAGCTGTGCACCTGGTGTCTTCGTGTGCGTGGCTGCCAGCGCGTGTGCCGTTTGCTGTGTGTGCCGTGGGGTCCATGTCTATGTGGGGGTCCATATGGACACGGATGTCTCTCCAGGCCTGTGCTCTCACATGTGCAGCCAGCCCCCAGCATGCACGCGGGGCACCATTTATTTGCACTTGTGCACATAGTAGCCAGTGAGGTAGCCCAGGATGAAGATGATCCAGAAGAGGGCCACGCCGCCCAGCACCTTCATGGCGATGCCCAGCTTGCCCGTGCACAGCTTCCGGGAGATCCTGGGGTGAGAACCAACTGGAGGTGAGCCCCAGGCCAGGGCCGCGTGAGGGGCCCCTAAGTGGACTGTGGCCATTGGTGCGGGTCAGGGGGAGGGGCCTGGCGCTCTGCTGGAGTGAAGAGGAAGCTCTCCCCACCCACGGCCAACCAGAGGGAAGGCCAAGGGCTGCGGTTTGCTGAGCCGCTGGACCGTGGGCTCCCAGCCAGGATGGGGTGGAGGGTGATGGGGCTGGCGGCAGGAGTTAGGGCAGGCGTCTCTGTGGTTGGGCAGGTTAGGCACCGGCCTACTGTGGCTGGCAGGCCGCCCCCAGGCCGCTTACCTGCGGCAGCATGAGGCCTCTTCTGTGCTGGACACAGCCCCTAGGCTGACTCCATCCCTGCTGCCGTCCTCCCACCTACTATAGTGGACGTGGCTCTCCTGGGGCTGCATGCTGTGGGGCTACAGCAGGAGAGGTGGGGCCTTCACAGTGGTGAGATCAAGACAGGTGGCAAGGCTGTGACTTCACTGTAAAACAACCGAATGGAAGGCAGTAGTCAAGACCCCCTCTGGGGCTGCTGTTAGGGGAGGGGCACTAAGGGTCAGGGGCTGGCTCCCTCACCGGCTCTGTCACCTGACTTAACAGGCGACCTAGACACAGAGTGGTTGAGTCATTTGCCCAGGGTCATGCCGGAAGGATGGGACCAAGCCGCTGGAATTCCATCTCAGGCCAAGCCCTAACCTCAGGCATGTGGGAGGCCAGTGTTTCCTTCCAGCACGCTCCAGGGGCCTCCCTTCCTGGGTGCTTTTATCAGAGAGCCTGCACAGCCTGCCACCCTCAAGAGACAAGGACATTGTGGCCCAACCCAGGATGCAGCCCCCTGATAACTGTCCCCCTCCTTAACCCTGCCCGATAAGGCGCCTGCTGACCTCTGGGGAGGCTGGCCCAGGGAGGGTGGGATGGGGCAGGGCAGCAGGTCCGGGGCAGTGGCTACAGCTAGACCGGTCCCTGCCTGGGGAGGATGCGTGGCTGGCCTCAGGCAGTGGCAGCAGCTGTGTCCTTGGCCTGTGTGGGTTGCAGCCCCTCCCCCACCCACACCTCTGGGAGGGCTGGGGCTTGGGGGGCACGATGCACTGAGCACAGGGCCGGGGTGGATTCAAGGCCTCAGGGAGTCCCTACAGAGACAGGAGGGTCGTGGGCTGGGTGGCTGCAGGACAGCCCAGCACTCAGCTCAGTGCCTGGCAGTCCAAGTGCCCACAGAGGCCAGGAGACCGCAGGGACTGAGTAGGAACTCCAAGCACTAGCACAGCTGCCCAGCCAGCCTGAGCCAGCCCAGACTCTAATCACCTCCATTACGCTCTGGCCTCTGTTTCGACCTCCTATTTACCTAAGGGGAACCGGGTGCAGGGGTTGGAGGGGGTGCCAGAAATTGACAACCCACCCAGGCTGTGGGACTGGGGTTAGCTCTCCGGTCTGCTAGGCCCCCAGTGTCTCTTCTCAGCATCTGGCCCCCAGGAGTGGGGTCCTTGGGCAGGCAGTGGCAGGCCCCTCACTTCTAGGGGCTGAGGCTTTGCTGGGCCCCCTCCAGCAAGGAAGGCTGACCTTCCTCCCAGGTCATCGGCACAGAGGTCTAAAGACACAAGAGCCACTCCCCTGCAAGAAGTCAGCTCAGAAATTCAGGCCCCAGGCAGTTCTGAGACTCCTGGGGCACTTCCGTGTCTGCCCTTCCCCAAAGCCCAAAGAGGCAGAGGGAGCTGTCTCAAAGCCATAAAGTGTGCCTTCGGTGGGAGCCCGGGCTCAGTGCAGCCTGGCACTCAGGCCCGGGGAGGCCCAGCCTCTACTGGAATATGGGTGCTGTTTTCCTGGAGCATGTGGAGCTGTCAGCCGCCTACCCAAGTTTCACGCCCTCTTACCTGGTGTGCAGAATTCCAGTCTGGTCCCAGCAGCAATGTGCCAGCCCGTTAACAGCCATGACCGGGGTAAGGCAAGCTTAATACCACCACCCCTGCTTTCCCAAGTCACCCAGCTGTGGGCCAGGAGCCAGGGTGCAGCAGGGGATGGGGAAGCTTTTGCTTCTGTGAAAGAAGCAGCAGCCACCTCCTTCTTCTAGCCTTGACGTGATGGCTGGAGCTGCAGCAGCCACCTTGCAACCCGACATCCACGCAGCATTAGTCCCAGGAGTGCTGAGTCTCCACGTCCACTGCAGCAGCCCATCATGGGCCTCCCGGTGGGACGGGTTAAGCCCAGTGTATTCAACTCTGGGATCCTGGGTTCCTGTCTTGCTGACCTAGATCGCGTGGTTCCGAAGTCACCCCGGTGGACAAAGCCACCAGAGCCGGCCCTTGAGGCTGGCCTCCCTCACTTGCCCAGTAAACGTCTCTCCACACTCACGTGAGAGTCACAGCTGTGGCGGCACAAACCCATCGCGGACGCCCCTCCAGGCCCTGGGAGCCTCCCGGGTCCTGGCACCTCCTGGGGGTTTGTGAGTGCAGGAAGATCCTAGCCTCTTCACCACAGCGCCTCAGGGCCCCACACTTACCCGGACAATCTTGCCTGAGGGCCGGGGCCTCTGTGCCAGGTTGAGGTCAGAGCCTGGCCGCGGCCCGCACCTCCCAGAGGGGCAGGTCGTAGGCTGAGGTTCCGTAGACGCCTCGAGCTTAAAAAAATAACCGGAGAATCAGCCTTGCTAAGGGCTGGGAAGGGAAAGTGGCTGAGGTCGGGGGTCCCCAGCGGCCACAAGGAGCCGGGCGGGCAGTTCCGGGCCTGGCCCCGCTCCGCGGATTAGGCCGGTGGGGGTCAGTCCAAGGCACGCCCCCAGCCCCCGCCAATTCTCAGCTAGCAAGGCCGCGCACAGGCCCACCTGCCCACCGTGGCCGCACCGGGAAGCTGCAGCCCGGACCCCAGCACGTCTCACCTGCGTCCGCGCGCCTCTGGGCTCCGCAGGGGCCGGGCCTGGGCAGGGGGCGAGGGCGGGGGCGGGGCCACGCGAGGAAGGGCTAGAGCCTGCGGCCGGGAGGCACCTGGTCCGGAAGGGGGCGTGGCTAGAGTGGTGGGCGGGGCCATGCGGGGAAGGGCTGGAGCCAGCGGCAGGGAGAAGTCTAGTCCAGAAGGGGCCGGGGGCGGGGCGAGAGGGGGCGGGGTCATGCGGGGAAGGGCTGGAGCCAGCAGCGCGGAGGTGCCTGGTTCAGAAGGGGTCGGGGGCGGGGCGAGAGGGGGCGGGGTCATGCGGGGAAGGGCTGGAGCCAGCAGCGCGGAGGTGCGTAGTCCAAAAGTGGCTGGGTGCTGGGCGAGTGGGGCCGGGGCCTGAGGCCGTCCAGCCCCGGGGCCTGGAGGTGCAGGGGGCCGGGCAGGGTCTGAGGGCTACACTTCCCGCCCCCAGACGGCCCGCCGTCGGGTCCCCGACTTCCTTCACCCCCGCTGGAGCCGCTACGACGCCACGTGCCCCCCAGCCCCGCGGGGACCCGGCTGCAGCGCCGACGAGACTACGGGAGGCTCTGGGCGCGTCTGGGTCTGAATCTTGGGTATCGAAGACTCGGCCGCGGGGACCGTCCCCCTCCGGGGCCTAAGGGGCATGGTGCCCGCACGTGGCCCACGCTCGGTGCTCGCGGCGGGAAGGGAAGAGGGTGTGGGTGGGGAGCAGAGAAGGGCGATGGGGAGAGCCCCTTCCGAATGTGTTCAGGCGCCCAGAGCCTGCGAGGCTCCGGGGAAGCGTCAGGGACCACAGACACCGTTGCCGTCCGTAAAACTTTCCTTCCAGGACCAGGGGGATGGGAACAGAGCCCCCCACCCTCACCATCTTCCAATCCTCCTGCAAGAGAGTGCCCCAACCAGGAGAGGCCCCAGGGCAGGAGGTCACAGATCCCCTCTGTTCAGTAGGTGTGAGGTCTGTGCTGAGTGCTGGCTGGACACCCCGGCTCAGGCGTCTGGCAGCCTGGGGCCTCATGGGGACGTGTTAGGAGCTAGGGGCACAGGCTGGTGTGCTGACCCCCAGTGAGTGAGCTTTGGAATGGGGAGTGTGGTAGTAGTTCAAGGTCGCAGAGGAGAATAGGCCCCCACGTGGATCCCAGAGAAGATAAAGGTGGGACAGTGCCAACGCCGGGGTTTAATTCTAAGTCTGAGAACAGGACTCATGGTGGGGGCGGGTGGTTCTGGAGCTGGGCCCTGGCCTCTGCTGGGCTGACCGTATTTGGGCGCCTGGCTGGGTCTACTTGGAGGTCCCCTTCTTGGTTTTGCTGGGCAGGAAGGCCTCTGACTGTTGAAGGGGGGGCACTTTGACGCCTTTCTGCTTCAGCTGATTGTAGTAGTCGCTTCTCTCTGAGATAATTCTCTACACAAGAAACACAACCGTGGAGGTGGCCTTCGCAGTTCCTCACCTTGGCCTTGAGGCTGGTCTGCCCAGTTCATGCCAGCTGCCCGGGACACCACCCTCTCGTCCTCCAGAGGGGCTCGCTGCAGCAGCGGTGTGCTGGTGAATACTTACAACCGGCTCTCCAGGGGGGAGGAAAAAGCAAAACTGCGCTCAGCTTTGTGGCGTTGCCAATTTCTGTGGTGGGAATACTCCCACGGCGGCTGATTTTCAGCCACGGAAGTGAAGTCACAGAACGCGGAGCCGGGGCAGGTGCACACCACCAGCCCACAGAAGCCTGCACTAAGTCCCCTCCTCAGCCCTCTTAGAGTTGTGAGGAACCCCAGACTCCTAGAGACCTTTGAGGTCGTCACATCTGTCCCTCAAGTCATTTCTGTCCTGTGCATAGGGAACGTTGTCCCCACCCCTCTTCCAGTCTCCTCTCTGGGCCGTTGCTGGTTTGTGTCAGGTTATGGCAAACAAGCAAAGGTGCTCTTCCCTGGCTACTGTGCAGTGGGAATACTCCCTCCATCCTCTGTCTTCCCTCTTCTCTTCCTCTTTCCCTCCCCTTCCTCCTCCCCTCCCCCAGACAACAGTACCAAGGCCGCAGAGATCTCTGCCCACATTACAGCTCTGCTGGAAAGGCACTGTCTGGGGCCCATCTGCTCTGCAGAGAAAGGGAACCAGGCCCCAGGAACGTGGGTGCTGGAAGGTCGTGGGCACACACTGGGGTTTAAGGGCAGCCCCAGAGGGCAAAGTGTGGGTCTTGGGACCAGAAGCAGCTGCTGGCGAGAGGTGACCCCTGCGTAGCACATGGCCCCACATGGAGCCACAGCCGGTGCCAGACTCCCAGATCTCTGAGTCTCACGACACCTTGCAGGTAAGCATGCGCTGTCCGTCACCGAGGGAGGCGTCTATGACTCAGAGAAGTGACTGTGTGGCCCACAGCTGGTGGGTGGTGAACCCCTCATGCCCAGTGACCCCAAGGCCTGAATTATTTCTCCTATACCCCTCTACTTCTCCGAGGCACCTGCTTGGGGACCCCTGGTCAGGAAGGAGCCCAGGAGGCTGTAGCCAGGGTGGGAAGAGTCTGCGCCAGGGCCCTGGATCAGTGGGTGGGGATACCAGCGGAGGGGACCAAGCTGGACAAAGCGGGGGCTGGGCTCCTGCTGCGGGAGAGTCTTCATGACCCGAGCGGCTTGTTCCCTGTCCACAGCGCTCAGGATGGGTTGTGGTGGTTACTGCTGGTCTCTGATGCCCCTCCCCCTTTTTGCTGAGAGTGAGTAAGACTCCCATGCCATGCCCCCACCCACCTTAGGATGATTTGGTCCCCTCTGCCTGAGCAGAGAGAAAGGGGGGTCCTGGGGTCCCGGTGAATAGGTGACACAGCTAGGATGAGAACAGAGTCCCTTGAATCTAACCTAGGCCCCCACCCCACCCCCTACCCCAGCTGTGGCCTAGGGGGATGGGGCCCGGATGGAGGCAGCTGAGCTTAGGGGTGTACCTGCAGGGCTTCCAGGATGTCATTGTCAGATATCTCGTTGACCAAGGACTTGGTCCCGGTGATGCTAAAGGTGGCCTGGATGATCTTATTCCTTAGCCTCTCGAGCTATGAGCAAAGGGACAACATCGTCACTCATCTTTGCCCAAGAAGGCACCTGGCCAGTGGGCTGCACCCCCCAGCACCTTATTTTTTATAGGCCAGGAAGGAACAGCTCACCCTCACTTTTCATGGCTTTAGAAACTGGAAACGGGGGCCGGAGGAGTCAACGTGGGCTGCCTGAGAGCTAGGAGGTGCCGGATCCAACCCCTGACCCTGCACGGCCCAGCCCCAAAGCCCAAAGGCTCTTTGACACCACGTGGGCTTTTCTAATTGGAAAGTAAAACCTACCCACACACACACACATTTTTTTTTTTTTTTTTAGACGGAGTCTCGCTCTGTCGCCCAGGCTGGAGTGCAGTGGCCGGATCTCAGCTCACTGCAAGCTCCGCCTCCTGGGTTTACGCCATTCTCCTGCCTCAGCCTCCCGAGTAGCTGGGATTACAGGCGCCTGCCACTGCGCCCGGCTAGTTTTTTGGTATTTTTTAGTAGAGACGGGGTTTCACTGGGTTAGCCAGGATGGTCTCGATCTCCTGACCTTGTGACCCACCCGTCTTGGCCTCCCAAAGTGCTGGGATTACAGGCTTGAGCCACCGCGCCTGGCCCACACACATATTTTTAAACCAAGAAACCAAAATAGTACAGAAGCTGCACGTAACCCCTGGACCTTCCTCCGCTGCCCAGGGGAGCTGCAGTGAGTGGACTTCCTGGCCCTTGGCGACACTGTCACTTTAGGCATTTAACAGTGTGCTGCTGGCCCTTCCTCCTTTCCATGCTGACTAGGAGGCGTCTGTGCCACGGACAGCAGCATTGAACCTGGCCCCTGCGCACAGACCCGGAAGGCGTTCCAGTCTTTTGCTGCCGTGAAGATCCTTGTCTGCCTGTACACTGCAGCCACCTCCCCAGAGGTAGCTAATCATGCCTCCCAGGAAGCTACAGAGGAAATCTCTCCAATCTGCACCCCAGGAGCCTCAGAAAGAAACCCCTGGAGTTATGCGGCACGATCAGCACCCGTTCCTCGCCCAGAAACCGTGACGACGCAGAGGTGCCCAACAGGAGCCGGGCCCGAAAGGCTCAGCTGTGCCTCCGAGTGGAAGCACGTCCACACTGCCACTCGGACAGGTTTAAGTAACAGCAGGAATGTCATGGGCCCCTGGCCTGTGTGAGGAGTGGAATCCTTTCCTTCTTTCCAGTATTTATTGAGTGCACTTTGTACAAACATCGTGCCAAGTGCTGGAGGTCCTGAGGCCACAAGGGACTGGGCCTTTGTTCTGGGGGGTGCCTCCCCAGGGTAGAGGTTGGCAGCTACCCAGGGTGTCCAGCCTCACTTCCCCACATCCGTGGGGCCTCACCATCAGGCTTGGCGCTAGTTCCTGCTCACCCGGACTTAGCTTCAGAGTATTTCTCAACTCAGCTTTCCAGGCTCTACCAGGTCCGTGCAGGCTGACACACAAATGGACACACCTCGACCGCCTCTGGTCTAATGCTTTCACCAGGACTACGGCTGGATCCCAAACTGTTTTATCAAGGGATACCGGGGGTGGGTGCCACAGTCTGACCCAGCCGGAAGGGGGCAGGCTCAGGCAGGAAAAAGAACACAGTTGAGTTGCAGTTGGCATTCCTGGTGGGAACATGACTTCAAAAGCCTCCATACATGACCTTGACCTTTGCTTAATTTTGGATTCTAAATCAAGGTCAGGGCCAGGCATGGTGGCTGACACCTGTATTCCCAACACTTCGGGAGGCCAAGGCAGGCAGACTGCTGGAGCCCAGGAGTTTGAGACCAGTCTGGACAACATAGTGAGACTGTCGCTACAAAAAGTTTCTAAAATTAGCTGGGTATGATGGCACAGGTCTGTGGTCCCAGGTACTCAGGAGGTTGAGGTGGGATGGTGATAGCTTGAGCCTGGGAGGCCGAGGCTGCAGTGAGCTGTTGTCACCCCACTGCACTCCGGACTGGATGACAGAGAAATACCCTGCCTCAAAAAAGAAAAAGAAAAAAAAAAGTCAGCTCTTTATTGATTTCCTTTTTGGCATGGGGCCTTCACAAGCAGGTTGTGCT